CTGGTTTCTGCACAAAGAAGGGAGGGTTTGATCAGGTGCTGAGCTGTGTTCTCATGTTCCTTAGCTTTCTTCTCTTCTTGCACTTTTATTGAGTTGTCTCCTATAACGTCAAACATCCCCTACTCTAATAATTCAAGAGACATCTGTGGACAAGGAGGACCAATGTCCATAACAGTTTATTCCTGGAAAAAAAGTGTTGCTGTTAYCCCCTTAACTTATGTCAGACAGAGAAAGCCCTGGGCATTCACATTGAAATTCATCTTTCAAGAATTYACCTATCAGCTTTTTAATTTACAAGTTCTTTAATTTGCAAGTACATGGATGATAGCGCTGAGCAAAAGATGGCTTCTTTTGGAGCAGAATCAATTTTGAAAATATCTGCATAGAAAATGGGGAAAAACAGTTTTTAATTCAGGCTTGCTTTTTTGCTTTAAAATGCTTTCCACTTTTTTTATCTAGATAAGATACATTACCTAAAGAAATATTTGTGTACTGTGGTGCTTGAAAGCAAAGCTAATTAAGTGAAGTTGGAAAATAATATCTAAGTGATTTGTGTAAGGCCTTTGCTACCAGCACATGCTAATAACGAGTGAGGGCTCATGAGCCATCCTTTACAGCTCCAAGGCCCCACTCAGCTCAAAAATGTATCCTGCAAAGGAGAACATCATAGTCTTTTACAGTGTAAGAATATAACCCATTTTCTCAGAAACAGTATGTGAAGTTTTGGGTAACTTCTGGATTTATCAATGTGAATCTTGAGCTGCGTTGAGCTTTTACRCTCTTTCTTCGAAGCACTTCCTCCCTGCCAGCCTTCCAGCGCTGCAGGAACTCACCTAAACCACAAACAGCCGCTGGGCCTTTGTGACAGGGATTCCTAGTTTACAGTAACAGGTTCTTCTTTGAGAAGTATCTTCAGTTTCTGTTTTGCAGATCTGCAATGGAGGTTACCCTGAAGCCTTATCTTCATGCCAGCGTTGCACCCAGAGCAGCAGTTTTCCCAGGTGAGTTGAACGGAGGGRAAGGTCTGAGCCCAAACTCCGGCCCTCTCTTCTTTTTGCAAAACTGCTTTCTTCAACTCTGCCAGGGTTTTTTCATTTCCCTTAAGCCATAAGGGCTTAGCGATGTCTSGTTCTCCGGCCAACCAATATTCTCTCCTCAAGCATGTGTTTTACCTCAAAATTAACCCCCAGGCTAGTTTCCCTTTGAGTGCAAGAAATACCATCCCTTTCCTATCCTCGTCAGAAGAGTTTCTTCCTTGGTGTCTGATTCTCCTAAGCTCCTTCTCATTTTCCTATTGTAGGCTGCTAATTTACAAGGTCTCTTAGCAGAGCTATCTATAAAAAATTCCTCTCTTCATTTCCACACATTTTCCTCTGCACCACAGCAATGGAGAGCGTGTGAGGCAGCTGCCTTTCCTGGCATGCCTTCCTGCTAAGGCTGCAAATCCCTGTTTTCTGGAATCTGCAGTTCCCAGGAGGAATCTCATCTTCCCCACGCTAGTCAGATGGCCCTCAGGCTCCRTAACAGCATTTGTGGGGCTTCCTCCTTCCCACGCAGCAATGAGGAACTGGAGGGAAAAGACAAAGTCAAGCGGGTTGCTCCAGCACCGGGATGAGTTTCCACGTAGGAAAAGTGAGGGCAGACACAGGACAGTGGTGCCAGTGTTGCAGCCTGGTCTCCTCAGCTGCTTCCCAGTGCTGTATGAAGACAGGGAAGGAGCATCCTAAGGCCTGGGTTACTGTTGGAAGCCACTGCTTCCACTCACCTAGAAGTATAAAGAAAATACATCAAAAAAAAAGGAAAATCAGCCCCACCACCAAGCTCACCGCAGTGTGTGTCTATAGCCAATATAGTGCTCAGTGTTAAATACTCAAGTGCCAGGGAAGAGCTTTGGGGACAGCGGGAGGAAGTAGGAAGTGCGCTGCTGTTCCCATGACATTCCCATCAGGCTCCTTCTGGGAATTCACCTCTTCTCCAGCTAGAGATCAGAGGGACGTCCTGTGCTAGCCAGAACCACACACCTAGATCCCAAATGTGTTACTGGCTCCTTTGTTCCGAGTGAATGAAAATCTAAGGAAAGATTTGAAGAGAAGGGATGTCGCTTCGTTGCGCTGAGCAGTTTCCGTAAGGCTTCGTGCCTCGGCACCACGCTTGGGCGCTTACCAAGCCTTGGTGCTCCTAATTAAAACCAGCCCTTTCCCAGGCGATTGCTGTGTGCGGGCTGTCTCAGTCAGCAAAATCATAAACATGGGACCTCCCTAAAAAAACCCTACTTGCATGGGTGCTGCCACCTCCCAGCCACCTGGGKTTGGGAAATCAGAAGTCCAGGGATTTCCATTTGTGGCACCCTTGTCTAGTCTGGTTTTCAAAACGCAGAGCCCACAGAGCTGCCCTCAAAATCATTAGGAGCATTCTGGAAATCAGCTCTGTGYGATGCGTCATCTGCGCCTGCAAAGCAGGGAGGGAGGGCAGGGTGGGTTTCAGCAAGCCAAAGGAGTTCTGTAACACGCAGCATCAGGGCTTTAGTGCTTCAGGAATGCGGTGGGATTGCAGCAAAATGGGCAAAATCCCTCTGGCATTTCCAGGATACCACACTTTTCCCCATCGGAGGCTATTCAAAGCAAGCCAGGCAATACTTAAGAGTTTAGAGAAATAAATACTGAGCTACGTACTAATACTAACTTAAATATAATAAACATAGCCCTTGTGCCTTTTTTTCCCATACTGGGATATGCCATGCTTCTGGATGAGCTTYGCTTTGGTCTCTCCGGAGGAAATCTCAGCCTCCCATTTCATTGCAAAATGGAATTGCAGGAGGGCGAAGCAATGGGGGTTTTGCAACAGGAGCCCAGCCTGAACCACCGAGGCCTGAAGAAAGGCACCGTGTCAGGAATCAGAGGATGGAAAAGAAAAAATGATTCAGAATGAAGATGGGAAAACCTTTTCAGAACGTGAACTCCAGCAGTTCCAAGGAGTTTATAGAACTACCCATTCACCTAGAGTACATATGTGAAAGACGTCTGCACAGCTCTGCTCCCCTGTCTCTTGCCAGGGGGAAAAACAAAGCCAAATTCCAGCAGCAAGCTGTTTGATAATGGCCATTCTTAATTGCTGCTGGCAGTGAAGTCTCATGGCGCTTGAATTTCTGTGAAACGTGTTTGATTTGCTGGAGCTCGTCCAACACCCCGCAGACCCTCCACACCTCTGATTTCCGTGCCAAGCGGAGTGCTGCTGTGAAAGGCCTCCTGCAGCCTCCCTGCAGTGCCCTGTGTGCCCCGCAGCCCAGGTCTGTGCCTGGGCTGCTGCATCCTCGCAGGCCGTGGCTTCGTGTGCTTAGCTCGACGTGGGCACGTGGCTGCAGCTGTGCATGGGTGAGAGCCGGAGCACTGGGAGCAAAGCCGAGCGGCCCCATTAAATATTAAATATGTTTAGCAAATTTGCAATAGCAGCATGGTTTCATACCAGAGCAGCAAAGCACGTCACGGGGCTACACATTCTGAGCCAAATCCAGGAGCAACAGTTACTGTCGGCAAGCTCAGCCCCTCACTTGGCCATCTCATTTTTTCACTTGTGCAGTAGTGCCAATAAACTTGCAGAACCAATCTGCTGGGAAAGATGGAGAGAGGAATTGGTGAGGGCCCCAATTCTGTCTGCTTTCCTGAAGGATTTTTGCTTCCTGGCTAATCTGGAAAGATGCAGGAATGTCTGGCAGCTGCACAGACGAGCCGGGGGGTTGCTCTGTTGCAGGAAAGCGCCCGCTGACTCGGGCCTGAGGTGGTCAGAGGGCTCCCGGGCTGCCCCTGCTGGGCACGCGGCTCCATCTGGGAATTTCATATGCATAAGACATGATGAGCACTCGTGTTTTCCCGCTTTGGCTTCACTGCATTCCCACCTCTGGAGCAGACAGAACTGCAGCGACAGGAGGGAAGTGTGTTTGGGTATTTCGCAGATCCTGGGACAGGCGGTTTGCTCACAGCGGCCCTCAGTTAAGTCAACTTTTGCTAAACACACATGCAGCTCTGAATCACACCCCGCTGTAAATTCGACTCATAAAACAAGTCTGGAAGCGTTTGTTAACCGGGAGAAGAGAGGTGTGGAGGCAGGTGTGTTCAGYGAGTGCCACCGCAGGCTCCGAGCGCGCGCCGTTCCTCTGCCCRGAGATCCGCCTGCAGAGATGGCAGCGGTGATGTCCTGGCACAAGGCAAACGCCCGCCTTGCCGGGGCTGGGGAGCCCGCGGTGCCGCCAATCCCAGCCCGYGTGTCCGCACCGGAGCCGTGGGCAAGGCTCTGCTCAAGCATGAACTCGTGCGGTTCAGCTGCTGCTCGGGCAATCCGGGGATGCACAGCCGTGACCTTTCCCCAGTCTGCCTGGGATAAGCGGGTGTCTGGCGTGACTGACGGTAGCGACTGTGGAAAGCTAAAAAATACCAGCATCAGCTGCTTGGCTCTTGTGGCACCAGCTCCTACCAGCTGGACGAGCGGCCCGTGCTGGGGTGGGCATCGCAGGCTGCTGTATGTGTTAATTATAATTAAAACGCTGAAGGACCATTTCTGGTTGAGATTTACATTCCATTAGGAAGTGCTACAGCCGGTAAAACAGAACGTTTCAGCACTTGGCTTCCCTCTCGTTTAAAGGTTTGGTAATGACCGACAACTCAGACTGTGGATGTGGAGCTCTGCTTGTTAGCTTTTCTCCTTATATTTTTAAATAGTTTCAGGAATCTGCAGTAGGCACCTGTCACCAGCAGAGCAGGATAAAAAAGTTGGTGAAATGCACCGATTTGCACCGCTTTTCCTTTAACATTTTCTTCTGTTGAAAGAGGACTTGACCAGCCAGGTAAATAGGCGTTGCTGTGCACTTATGTAAATTCTGCTCAGTCCACTGAGCCTCAGATAAACACTTGTCCTCTGTTACTTCCTCGAAAAAGACGTCCAGGTAAAGATGAGCTATTTTGCATTGCAGACTTGGGTACCTTTTCTGCTGAGCACCCTTCAGGCTTCCCAGATGTAGAGAGAGAATTAAAGATAAAGGAAAATAAGACTAGGCCACTCAACAGAACTGCTGATTTGGAGCCCGTGAAGCCGACGTGTTGGTGAGTCCAAATGCAATGACTTCATGCACTATATAGGGTTTTGTGCAAAGGTTTTTTTTCAGCTTTTTCTTTCATTTGTTTTTAACTTTTCATCCTATGGCAGAGACTGTTTTTATGTCTCTTTTACTTAAACTGTGCAAAATGACTATGACTCAAAAAAAAAAAAAAGGGAATACAGAATTTTTCTATTGCTTTTAATGGGGAGCATGAGCAAATTGGAAGCAGATCTGGGATGGATGTCAGTTCAGTGTTAGCTTCAAGTTCTATAAAGACAATATACAGATCTTCTGGTAGCCTTTTTGCATGTGTGCTTGCCAAAGAGTAAAAGAGCTCACTGAGACTTGCTTTATGCTTCCTTGTAGATTTTCGGTATAACTGATAGAAAAATGAAACCTTTCCAACGCGTGTTCCGTTGGAGAGGATTGAATCTGCTTTTGCCTCTGTTTTTCTCCTTCTGTTTCCGCGGCATGGGTGCGCACAGTGCGTCAGCTCCTTCTCATGGAGACTTTCTGGTCAAGGGAAACAGAGCTAAACCCRGGCCATGGCCTGGGTCCTTCTGTCCCCTCATCAGATCTACAGGGCTTTTCAGCTCATCGTGATTCTAGTGCTCTTTAAGCTCTTGTGGTTCATCCAACCCCCCCTTTTTTCCTGTTGTGGTCACTCGTATGTGTCATCAAGAAGTGTTTTGCRAATGTCTCTTAAAAGTCTTCTTTTCTCCTCATGTTGTACCTGTGTCTGTCACAACGAGACCCAACAGCTACATCAAAAGGCCAGAAGGCCTCGGTGCATCGTGCCACGCTGTGGATGTTGTAGATATTTCCAAGCACTTCTGTAATGCAACTATGTCTTATAAAACACTAAGGCAGGCGCTGGGGCCGTGGTGCACATGGGYATCGTGGCCAACCTACCTATTTTTAGTGGCTGAACTCATTCCGACAGTGGCTGTTAGTTTAATTCTGTTAAGTGCCAAGTTGCTAATTGCCGTTTTTCTACCTGGCTGCTCTACTGACGCGAAGAGAGATGGGTGAAACCTAAGCGGGCTGAGGTTGGGTGCATGCAGAAGTGACAACTTGCAGATTTGGTGTCACGGACAAAGCCAGCATGACAGTGAGAAAGCCTGAGGTTTCCTTAGTCCAAAGGAACTGCTAACCAACTGCTAACATTTCTGAGCCCAAAAGGACAAGAAGGTTATCTTACAGATTAGAGCAGTTGTTAGATTCTAGCAGGAAAACTTGGGAAATTACAACAGGGAGAGAAAAAGGAAAATAAAGTAAAAGCAGGTGCATTAGCAGACGCTGTGGGAAGAAGCGTGCGTCTCAGGAGCACTGTATGTGATTTTGCAGCATTTAAAGTCAGAAGCAACAACTAGCTTGTCTGCATACAGCAGTCTTGTCTGACTGCCGCTCCACCAGATGTGGTTGCAGTTTGTCTGGATATTTGTAGGCTTTTAAGCATGAAGGCCAGAGTAAACTGTTATGATCATCTGGTCCAACATGCTGTGCATGAGAAGCTGTAGGATTTATATTCTCCTTGAACAAGGTCAGCTTTTGGAAAGGAAAAAAATCCAGTCTAAAAATACCCAGTAAAGGTATTTTTTAATTATGAGGATTCCACTTCACGCCCTGATAAGTTCTTTCACTTAGGGATTTCTTGGAAATCCAATAAATTTCCAATTTATTGGCAATTTTGCTCAATTTCAGATTCAAATCCTGCCATAATAACATCCAAAAAGGACTGAAGTGATGTCCAAGAAAACATTTTCAGGTGACAAGAATAACAGCAACTCCAGTACTATAAACAATGAGCCAAGGGAGCAGCAAAGTAGCTTATTGCAAAAGTATGCCAAGAAGCTGATTCATGTGATAATCAAAAAATTAAAGTGGGGGTGAATTTGTAGCATTTTAATAGTGGGAAGAAAGATGACAGAGTTCGCATGAAAATATTTAGAGTCACAGAACACTGTTTTTATTCAGATTCAGATCATGTCTGGAATGGATGCAACAAACACTAAGCAAAATGGGAACGCAGGAGAACGCAGAGAAAAATACACCAGTTTCTCAAAAAGAAGTACACCTATACAAAGAGAAGACGTGTGTGCTATAGAAGGAGATTTTAGAGTGCTTGGTGTAGGGAGAGCACCAAATAAAAGAGAATGGGCTTTTCTAAAGCTAATAGGCAGGAGAAACCCTAAGAAACAGTAGGGATCCCTGTGAAAGAAGCAAAGAGTGGCTCAGAGGAGATGTAAGCTAAGTGCAGCCTACTCATACTTATCCAAGGAGTAACGTGCTCCTATCTCCCATTCAAGACCTACTTTACAAATAAGACATTAGGGGAAAAAGAAAACAGATTGGAATTTCAACTCAAAAAAATATTGTTTTTAGTTTAAGCAAGCGAACGCGTGAGGCTGGAGATACAGAATGTGTGACAAGTGATTCACAGAGTGGGCACGCAAGCAGAACAAAAATATGCCCAGCACTGATAACAAACTTGTATGAAAACTAGGGGGGRAAAAAAAAAAGAAAAAACTACCAAACATACGCAGTGTTTTTAGCYGCCCATGTAGCCCGGAAGCGAGTGCAAGAACTTGCTGCAGGGGGGCAGGCGCCTTAGGGGGCACAAGCACAGGGTCGCCCTGGTCCCGTCAGTCCTTGGATGTGCTGGGTGGCGATGGACAAGCCCCRGCAGCGGCTCCGCTAGCGAGGAGGCAGTTTGGGCCTTGGTGGAGGGCAGGGCGGCGAAGGGAACCGCAGGAAGCCRTGGGGCTCCCACCGCGGCCGGGGGGACGTTAGGTCCTGGAGAGGCGCCCGGGGGAGCCCGAAGGGAGCAAGAGGCGGAAGGGCCCGCGGAGGAGCCGCTTGTGGGGAAGAAACAAAGGCGGTGACTGGAGAAAGAGGAACCAGGCGCTGCGCGAGAGGTGGAGGGGTCCGTCCCCAGGCRCCCGCAGCAGTAAGTACGAGACGGGGACGGGAGCTGCAAGGCCGGGCCTTGCAAGGCCGGGTTGCTCCCAGCCCAGCTGCCTCCAGCGCCGGGGCTGCGCGAGCAGCCACAGGCCGACGCGGAGCTGGGCAGCGTCAGCGTGGCCCCAAGGGGCTGGTTCGGGCTTGGGAAGGGCCGATGCGGGGGCACGGCAGCTGCCTGGTGCTCCAGGCTCCAAGGGCTGCTTTGGGAGAGGCTCCATGCTGGTGGCGGGATGCGCTGGGCAGGCTGCCCGGAGGAGCAGGAGGACAAGTGCAAGGGGAAGAGGCATCGGGAGAGCTGGGATGGGCTGGAGAGCTGCCTGGGGCACCGTCGTCCTGGCTGAGCACAGGGAGGTGGCAGCTCAGGGATGCTCCGGCTGGAAACTAATTCAGTGGTAGTTCTTGCCCTCAGAGCCATTTGCAGTCTGCTGTTAGGCACATATATATGTGTGTGTATGTACATATATATATAAAAAATATATATAATATGTATTTAAATAGGTGTTTTGCCCGCAAGGTGACAATAGGGAAAGGCCTCGTGAGCCCACCCTGTGCGGAGGCTCAGTGAGCAGGAACGTCACGGTGCAGGTTGCCTCCCAGGAGCAGTTACGGACACTGCCAGAATGAAAAAGGTGCCAACCACGGGACAAACTCATCCCTCTCTGTGCCTCGCGGCTGGAAAATGCACACAGGGAGTTTACACAGGATGAAGCTCCTCTCTCAGGAGCCTAAATGGCAGTTCTTAGCCGTTGACAAACTCAGGCCTGGCAAAATCCGCTCTCCTTTCTTTTCTGGAAGTGTAATAAACACGAATGTGCTGTGATAAGGAGTCAGAGGAATATAGCAGTTTGTTACATGAGTAAGCTTGTTTAGTTTGATTCTCAGGCAGCGGTGACAAAGGGATGCGGAGTGAATGCCCCGCAGCCAGAGGGCTTGAATGGAGCAGGGAAATGGGATCCTGGCTCTGGGAGGGATAGGGAGGAGGCTTTGTGCAGGATGAGCAAGTCGGAAGGTGCTGCTGCTTGCCTCTTCTCATGCTCATATATCAATATGGGGAAAWACAGTGGAAGCTGCAGCTGGTGAGGGCTCTAGGGGTCACCACTGTCTTATCTATGTCATCTGGATTTAATTCTGAAGTAGGACAAATAGCACGACAGAGGCCAGAGCCAGGCTATTCTGCTTTTCTGTGGGCTAGACAGCTTGCATTTCCATTCCCTGTTTGCTTTTTGTTGTTTTTCTTTTCCTGCCTCCCCGCCTGCCTTCTGTTCATCCCTCCCTTAAAACAAACCCTCCCTGTCTGTGTAGGATGCAGCCGGGGGGCTGTAGGAGCAGGGCAGTTGTCTCAGAATTCCCTCTTTATGATCAGACCCCTTTTATTTAGAGCAAAGGGCAGGCAAATCTCAGAGGTTAAGCGGATTACACAATCTCCTAACCACCTTGGCACCCAAAACTGCCTTGAATAGCACCCTTGTAGCTACCAGGGTGAGTCCAGAGAGGACTTGCACTGCCTGGCCAKTGATCCCTGGTCTGCTCCGCTTTCTCTTCTCCTTTTCCCCAAATAGATAAGCAGCCCTGACTTCTCCCAAAATTAGTATCTGCTTTAAAGTCAGGATTGGGTGTCTGGGTTGTAAAAAGGACYCAAGGTCCACTTCTCTGGGACTTTTTCCGACCTCAGCTCTAGGAAGTAGCTTTGGTGTGCGCTATGTTGCCTGCTGTTTGAAATAGCACATTTTAAAAGTGGGGTGCAAAATGTCTGGGAAGAAAGAGGTTTCCCCCTCCTCCTACCCGCAAGGCAGGTGATTTGTTAGAAGCAAGTAGACAAGTTTTTTGGCACACAAGCCGTGAAGAAGAATCTGTAACACCTGGCAGCCTTTTTTTTCCAGCTATAGTAGTTGCTCTTATGAAACACAGCTTCTTCCTTCTGCTCAGAGGTATGTTAAGCTGTGAGACTTCTTGCTGCATGATGTTATCAATGATGAGAGTTCCTGCGACCTCAGAACCTGACTTGGACAAATGGATGAATATCAGAGCTGCTGGGGCAAC